CCAGTACTTAAAAAAATGTTGGACACATGATAACTTTAGCAACTATTAGACCAATCTGGACCTGAACAATGCTGGATAGAAAGGTATAACGTTGGGTAGCAACAAGTAGTTGCTATGGTTTGGATGCAGCCTGGGTGTCCCCCACAGGTCCATATATTGAAAACGTAGTGCTCAGGGGCTCAGAGGGGGTAGAACCTTTAAGGGCTGGATTCTAGTGGGAAGCCCGTGGTCACTGGGGACAATGCCCCCTAAAGGGATTAAGGTAGCTCACCTGAGACCCCTGGGGGCCATGAGCAGAGCAAGCCTGCAATTCTACCCGGCTTCCTGGTTTGCGATGTGACTGCTTGCTCCCCCCCAACACACTCCTGCCATGAGGGGACACCCTTTGCTACCTCAGCAGAAGAAGCCAGCTGGCTTTCAACTTTGATCCTCAAAACTGTGGGCTACATATAGCTGTTTTCTTCATAAGTAGCCTGCCTCAGGTATTTCTTCATAATGATACAAAGCTGACGAAAACACTACCCAAAGGTTAACTGCTGCCCACTTGAACTTTACCTTCCAGTCATTTTTTGAGGTCTAAGTTTTTAGTTTTTAAGCTACTGAATTCTTTTCTAAGTGCCAAAACATGGCAAGCAGAGGGAGACAGGCAACTTAGAAAGGAAAGGAATTCATCAGTGATTCCCAACTTGTTGGGAGAGAAATACCTTTGCCCAAATCATTGTTCTGGCTCCCTGGGACCCATCCTTCCAAGCCCCATCCTCAGGGCTGGGCAGAGGTCAGGGGGGCTCTCTCAAGTCCTGGGCAACCGCTGAGGTGCTCTGGAGTAGGACAGCGCTCACAGCTGTCATGGAGGAGAAAGAGAGTAATGCTTTTTTTTTTTTTTTTTTTTACTGGAGCTTGAACCCAGGGCCTTAACCTGAACTACATTCCCAGTCATTTTTTTATTTTTTTTACATTTTGAAACAGGGTCTCCCTACGTTGCCAGGGCTGTGTTCACGCTAGCAAGACCTCTGCTCTAGTCTCTCAGGTCATGCCTTCTCCTCCACAGGATGGAAGGACTCAGAGACAGGGTCATTAACAAAGATAATCAAGTTGAAGTGAAGCCATGAGGGTGGGCCCTCTTCAATATGACTGGTGTCCTCGGAAAACGAACGTGGCTTTTAAAACTGCAGCACTGCTTCCAACCCACCTGTTTTTCTTTGAAGTTGGGTCTCCACCCCTAACTAGGGTGTTTTAAGCGGCCTTCGTATCTCTTTTCTCACCTCCTACCTGGAGGCGGAGGATGCTAATTGAAATGAGTGGGTAGCACAGGATGGAGCACCTTGGGCCTGGTTTCTATGGAAACTCGGCCCTCCTTTCACCTTCCAACACATCTTCTTGGCTGCTGATACACGACTCCTGGAGATGTGGACGGCTCTGATCTGTGCTACCAGTGATCTTGCCAGTCACCCAGCAAACGCTGCCCGATGGGTGCCCGGTAACCGCAGACAGTGAGCCCTTTGCCAAGAAGTGTCCAGAGACTTTGCAGCACCATCCCAGCAATTCACACATCCCTCACACAGGGTTGTCACTTATTCTCCATCAGTACAGCCCAGCAGAGCCCCTGGCCACACTTGCTCTGAATCACAGGTACGCGTGCTCCCCACCCCCCAAGTACCCAAATCCATGGATGCTCCAGTCTAATACTTGAAACACTGTGGAGCTTCCATAACTTGCTGCACAATCTCTGCAGTGTAAGTCTTCTCTAGGCGACTCAGAGTACCCAGGACAATGTAAATAGCTGTTACAAGGCATTGTTTAGGGCGTGACCAGAAAAAAATCTGTTTAGGATACACATGATTTAAAAACAGCATTTTCAACCCACAGTTGGTTGAATCTATGGCTACAGAGGCTGAGTGTAGCTTGCTGGGTCTCCTTTAACAAAGACTGGGTGGCTTAAACCACAGAAATCATTTGTCCCGCAGATACAAGGGCTGGAAGGCTGAGGGCAAGGCTTCCGCTGGTGCTGGGACAGTTGGTTCCAGACCCTCTCTCCTTGGCCTGCAGATGGCATTTTCCCATCTTGTCACAGCTTCTTCCCTCTATGTCTGTCTCTGTTCCCAAATTTCCCCTCTAGATAAGTCATACTGAAGAGGGCCCACCCTAATGTCTTTGTTTCAACTCTATTGTCTTTGTTAAAGACCCTGTCTTGGAATAAGGTCAAGTTCTGAGATACCAGGAATAGGAAGAACTCCAGCAAATCTTTTCTCAGACACTGTCAACCCACACTGGGCTTTCCTCCAGCAAACCTGGCTGGCCTTCTGGCTTTTCTGCCTACTCCCCACTTAACCTCAGCAAGCCTTAGCTTTCCCATTCTTAAAATTAGAACAGCAGGATCTCCCCTGCTGATTGCAGAGGCTTGGCGGGGCACAGGGCTTCCAGGCAGCTCCTTCTTATTACCAAGGAGGGCTACAGGCCCTGGCCCGCCCCACGCCTAGCGCTCAGTGCACCTGGACGCCCGACACCTGCGGGGGCCGGCCTGCACACGTACACAGCTCCGCTTCTCACGCCCATGGGCCTCTTGTTCTGTCCAATAGCAGTCCTAACGTGCTAAACAGCCCCAACCTCCAGGGGTGGCAGTCAGGGCACGAGGGGCAAGGGTGAGTCCTTAAATTGTCCAGCTTCTCCCTCATAACTTCCAAGTATTTTCCACATGGGCCCAGCATGACTGAGGCCCCGATGCCCAGGGTTAGTGAGTACAGACCTCAGCTGGTTTTTCTTTTTTCCCTAGTTTTTTTCTTTCACCTATGTTTTTTTTGGGTCATTTCCCCCAATAAACTGTGTGTACCCAAGTCTTTACTTGTTTGTTTGTTTGTTTTTTAAATTATTTTATGTATTTAGTACAGAGTCTATAAGGGTCTCACTACACAGATTGGACTTGTAGTAAGCCTCCTGTTTTCAGCCTCCCAAACTCTGGGATTACAGGTACACACATACCACCATGCCCAGTCTCAGTCACTGTCTCAGTGTGCCCCAGGGGTGGAGCTGGCAGGGCATGCCATGGGGCGGGGGGCTGGAGAGGAGGTAGAACCCCAGTTCCTGCATCTGCCTAAGCAGGTGCTTTAATCTACTGAGCTATCTGGCTGGCCCTTTGGGGACTGTTTTTGAGGGTCTCTGATTAAGAGGAGAAAACCAAAGCCCAGAGGAGGGATGTGACTTGTGTAAGTTAAATAAGGAGTGGCAGGCATGGGATTTGAACTGAGACTTCCCTGGCTCTAAAGCCCTTAAGTTTAATCAACAATGACCGCATCCCTAGTGCCAAACACCAATGATATATATACCCATCATCTCTTGTTGTGTTTGTTCCTTTGTTCTTTTGTTCAATCACAGTAAAAGTTACTCTATAGAGAGTAACCTTCTCCTCTTTTTTCTCCCAAGAATTTAATGAATGCTGCCTTTGCCCCTGATCTTCACCCCAGCATGGCAGGCACCTGAGGTTCCTCTTTGGAGAATGATGCCTTCTGAGCCCATCCAGGATTCAGCTGGGCCAAGTCTTAAGCAGCACACAGCAAGCATAAAGCTGAATAAGCCCTGGGTCTTGTCTAGAATGTGTGGGCAGAATGATGCTGGAATAGCTGGTGACAGTAACTGCTGGAACATGATTTCGGGATGTGATTTGCAAGTACTGGGCAGCTGGTAGCCATGACATTCATTCTTTTCTTTTCTTTTCTTTTTGGTGGAACCAGGGATTGAACTCAGGCCCTTGCACTTGTCAGGCAAGCCCTTATTCTACTAAGCTGTCTCTCTGTCTCTGAACATAATTTTTTTTTTTTCTTTCAGAACTGGGCATTGAACTCAGGCCCTTGTGCTTGCCAGGCAAGTGTTTATTCTACTGAGCTATCTCCCTGGCGCCGTGATGTTCATTAAATGGGGAGATTCTGTCCAAGACACAGAATGGGAAATAAGCAATGACAGTTTCCTTGAAGCCCCAGATCCACGGATGCTGAAGCTAGATCCTCTGTTGCTTAAACTAGTTCACATTTTGTATTGCTTGAATTGAAAAGAAATAATACAAATCCAAGTTTCCTCTCTGTGAGACAGGGTCTCATTATAGTACACACTGGCTTTGAACTTGCTCTTAGCTCAGGTTGGCCTCAAACTCATGATCCTCCTGCCTCGGCCTCCTCAGTGCTATACAGTTGTGTGCTACAACCTGTGATTCCTTATCCTGTCTTTGTGTGGGTTCTGCTCCCAGCCTTCACCTGAATATACTGACGTGTTTCAACTGTTCTTCCTCCCAGGACCACGCCCTACTATTAGCAATAGTGTCCGGCACAATTGGCTAATACCTTACTGGGGCATCTTTTCAAAGATGGCTGCACTAAAGCCAGCCCACCTGTGAACTTGTCAGATGTCGCTGTCTCCTCTCTCCTTATACACCCTATGGCCTTCCCTTTAAACTGAGCAGGGCCTTGTCTGTGTCCAAGTCCTTTGCCTGGGGTCTTCTCCGGCCAAAGGAATATGACAGAAGTAGTTCTATGTGACTTTTGGGGATAAGGCACAAACAGGAGACAGCTTCCTTGTGGCTCTCTCTCGCTCTTGGGATGCATGTACTCAGAACCCTGCAGCCACACTGTGAGGAAGCTCAGCTAGCCCACACACTGACCACTTGAAGAGGCCTGCATGGGGGAGGGGGCGGTTGATGTTTGCCAGCATAACCTGCCTGACAGAGGTGGGGGCGAATTTTCCAAGGTTTCCGTGTCCAGCTGAGGCAGTTGGCATCACAGTACTAGGGGCTGGGAACAGAATGAAGCCAAGCCACCTGGGTCTTGTTCAAATTCTGGACACACAAAATCCATGTGCACGATAAACATCACGGCTTTGCGCTTGTGGGCTAGTTCTTCACCTGTCGTAACCAGAACACCTTCCCCTACTCTACATCCCACACTCGTAAGCAAAAAAGATGGCTCAGATGCATGGCACAAATAAATAATCTTTAATTTCAATAAATAGCTCCCCATGACACCAGACAATGTGCTGTGGAAAAGACACAGAAGCATCCAACAAGGAAAGAGAGCGATCTATTCTAAATACACTAATTCCTTAGCATGTAAGACATGACTTTGGCTCTCGCACAAACACAGAAAGATCTTAGGGGCATGATGAAGGAGACTGTCACGCTGGGGCGCGGTAGCCACTGTAATCCGGGCATTGGGTTCTTGGTGAGTCACAATCTCCACAATTCAGTCAAAACACCGCTGCCTTTGCTCTATCATGTCCTATTTACTGGACAAAGACACAGTGCCATTACCCCCAAGCAGGGGCGCTGACAGACGGCAGGACATGGGTGACAGGAGAGGCAGAAAGAGGAATGCTCTGGGTGGAGGTCCCAGCCACCACTTTGCTCTCCAAGAGGACAGGGAGGCACATATGTGTTCACCTGTGAGGGCACAGACACACACACACACACACACACACACATACATACACAACACACACACACAGACGAGAACATATACATATATCCCCACAGGGTAACCCCTGGAGCAAGCTAACACAAGGACAAATCAGTTAAGCTGTGAGACCTTTCTTACACTGGATTTTTTGTTGTTGTTGCCATTTGGTTTCTCCAAATAGTCTAACCTACTTTATTACATTTACTATGGAGAAAACAGAGATACTTACACCTTTGGAGAAAGTATCAGGTCAGAAGAACCCCAGGGTACAGGTGCCTGTTCAGAAGTGACTCAGTGGGTCTGTGTTATAGGAGTGGGAATCGGGCCTCCCACCCACTAGCCACTCCTGGTAAATTTAGTCTTGATGGTGACTGGCTCCCTCTGGTAGGCCCTTTCTCTGGCCTAAGGGTAGAAAGTACATTTTGGAATGGGGTATGAGCAAGAGCAGGCATTGCCAGTAAGGCCCAGGGCAGAGCCCACGTGGCTCATGATATAGGTGGCTGGGGCTTCTGGAAAGTTCTCAGGCCTCCCTCAACAAGAGTGGCTATTTTGTGATGAAAAGTCAGCTTCCTCTCAGGTCTGAGAGGATTTATAATGTGTGTTTGTTGTAACAGGTATGGATGTAATAGCATGTGACACATTTTTTTTCTGTCTTTGCACAAATAAAAGCTGCCTCCTCTTGCAGCTTTCAGGTCACCTCCAGGGAAGCAGGAGACACACGGTCACACTCAGCTCGAGACCTCAGGCTGTGCCACTGTTCCACAGCTGTGCGGTGGGTATTGAGCATCCGGCGCCAGTGGTTGGACTCTGAGGGCCCTGAGGAGTACTGGCCAATGACGATCCTGCCAATGAAGTCATTGCTGCTCTTCATGTTGTGGCCAAACACTAGGGAGAGAGTCAGAGAGGAAGGAGGGGAATGGGACAGAGACAAGACAGAGACCATTAGTCCACATCTTCCTCAACCTCAAAGGTAGGACCACTGCTTTGGGAACTGTATTTCTTCTCGTGGTGAGAATTCCTGATTCCCTCATCTCATCCTCTTGTGAGTCTCTGTCACAGCTGCATAGGTCTTTTGCTGTCCTTTACCATGTCAGCTGTGTTCCCACCTCCCAAGCTCTGCTTTGGCTGTGTTTCCTGGCAAACAGCTGAACCATCTTCAAAATGTAATACAAACTTACATCCTAGTGCCTTCTGCTCTGCCTACAGAGGGAACAGACTTTCCCTGAAGACATCATAGGCTGAGTAACCCCTAGAAGCTTCTCCCATGCACTGTAGGCTGCTTGGCAGCATCACTGATCTCTACTCACTAGAGACCAGCACCAGGCCCCACCTCAAGCCGTGACAACTCAGAATGTCTCCAGACATGGCCAAATGTCTCCTGGAGGGCCAGCCAGTTCATCCCACACGAGAACCTTTAGGATTAAGCTATAGGCTGGACATTGAGATGAATTTAGGCCCTGTCATTTGATTTGCCTGGGCTCTCAGACTCTGTCAGGTAACCTTCTGAGCCTCATTTTCTTCACTGGTTAAAGAAAATTCTTCATACTTTGTATCTCATGAGCCAATGTGAGGTTTTGATAAGAAAATGTATGTGAAGTTCTCAGTGCATGGCACCCACCAAGTGGCAAGTGCTCAGCACTATGCTGCCATTTAAATCCTGAATTTCTGTCAGTCGACCTTTTATGAAACAGACATCAGGTTTCCTCCGTTAAACACACGTTTCCTCTGTCTCCATTTGCTGAGAAAAAGTTCAGGCAATCTCTCCCACCCCATGTTGTTACAGATCTCCTTGGAAGTCTTCTTTGTTAAATTCCAGCACAAGCTCAATTTGTGTCTTTCAAGCCTAATGAGATGGTTAGCCTGATTTATCTTTCTAGCTAAGTTCTGCCTAATTCTTTATCTGCATGTGGGTAGTCCAAGCATGCGCTCTCGCTAATGGGAAGAAGGCTGTGCCTGTGTTATAAATGAAGGGCTAGAGAAAGGGAAATATCAAAGATTCACCCAGCATGAGCTGAGAAAGGCAGGCTGGATCCCAGGAGGGATGCCGATTATCAAATAAAACAGCTAAAATATGCAGCCTAAAACAGAATTTGAACGCTAACAAGCCTCTGTTCTCCTCTGTGGGGTTCACATCAAGAATTTCAAATGATGGAAAGAGGGGAAAAAAAGAAAAGTGGAAAAACAAAAATAAGAACCCATCCAATGTCTAAAAATCCAAAAGGCCTAGTAAACTAGGGCAAGTAAAACACTGTGTTATCTCCATCAAGGTTGTCCAGTATGTATCAGCTTGAGGAAAAAATGGACTATGTATGGTTTTTGTGCATTCAGTAATGTTGTTGGAATGCACAAGTGAACCTCATTTACAAGAAAATCTCTCACAACAGAAGGGAGGCATTAGGAATGGAATCTTAGTTAATAAAATAAATTGCTGAAGTATTCTCTGATACAGTTGGGGACAAATCTAATTTTTAAAAGTAGGTAATTCTGAGGGTCTTTGGAGTAACAGAGTTCCCTTCCCCATGGGGATCAAATCTAAAACAAGAGACACTATGATGGGACCTTTTCAGGTTCCCTTTGGTCCTCCTCTCTGGGGGGGCAGAATGTTCTATCCTTCTTTGCCTCTTCAAAGCTCACGAATGGCAATAAAGAACAGTGTCCCTCGTCTTGTACTCTTGGGAAAGGGGTTTTAAGAGAGAAAATCTCAAGCAGTGTCATGTGTGGCTAGAGGGAGATCAATGTGCTTCCACTTTTGGGTTATCTTTTCAAAATAAAAATGTCATAACTTGTGACTCAGAATCTACTTCTAGGAACATATCCCATAGATTTATCTGCACAAATGGACACACATATGTGCATGGATAGTTTAGATATCCAAAAGTTGGCAAAGCAGAACCTCCAAGCCAAATCTGGCCTTCCCCTTTTTATTTTTGTAAATAAAATTTTATTAGAACACAGTCAAACCCATTTGCTCATATAATGGTGCTTTTGTGCTTTTAGTTGAGGTTACTACCTTGGTCTGTTTAGGCTGCTATAACAAAATGTCATAAATTGGGTGGTTTATACACAATGGAAAGTTATTTCTCGTAGTCCTGGAGGTTCTAAGGTCTAAGGTTAGGTCACTGGCAAATTTCTGGTTTAATCCTCCTTCCTCACATGTGATGTCTTCTGACTGTGTCCTCTCTGGAGACTCCTTTATCAAGGCACGCGTCCCAAGCATGATGGCACATTTGAGATAAGAGGACTTCGACATACAGGGTTGGAGAGCACACAAACATTTACTCGACAGAATAAACTCAGGAGAGACCATGTGGCCCTTGAGCCCTTAAACTCTGACATCTGGCTCTTTAGAGAAATTTTTGTTGATTCCTGTTCTATTGCATTGCTTGTGAGAAAGAAAAACGGGAAATGACAAATTCTCCATAAGGAAATGCAGCAGAAGCTAAGGGTGCGCTCTGCCCACACCCTTGGCCCACGCTGCAGGCCACCTGCGGCCTCTGCTGAGTGTGTCCTGCCCTGGCCACCCAGGACACTCTGCCTGCACCATGCCAGCTTGTCTGTGTAGCAGTCCTATTTGGGGCGGGTGCCTTAAGCCACCCAATATCAGCTTGACCTCTAAACAGGCTAGAGACCATGGTCAGCCATTTAGATGGGCAGCCATTCTCATGTAAACAACCCCATCATAGGCCCCAGACACCAAGGCTCTGGGTGGGAATATCCTGAGTGGACGGCACCTATGGATGCTGGGACAGCTGGATGAGGAGCACTTAGGTCTACTGGGTGAAGACAAGCACATGCTCCTGCCTGGGCTCTCCTTCACTCAACCCTATATGCCTATTTTAGTCTGTGGGTACTGCTATAACAAATTCCTTTAAAATTGGTGGTTTAGAAATAATGGAAATTGGGGCCAGGGAGATGGCTCAGTGGAATAAGCCCTTCCCTGGCAAACACAAGGGCCTGAGTTTGATCACCGGTTCTGCCAAAAAGAAAGAAAAAAAGACAAGAAAAGAAAGAAAGAAAGAAATTGCTCAGCTATTCCTAGAGGCTGAGAAGCCCAAGATCAGGGTACCAGAACAGCCGCTGTCTGGTGAGGAGGGCCTGCTCTCTGCTTCATAGATGGTCTACTCTTTTTTTTTTTTTTTTTCATTAAAAAACCCTTTATAGTCATTTCATGTCTGTCAGAAATCACAGAAATTAGGCAGAAAAAAACCCAAGGGACAAATACAAACAGCACAGCGTTTCCCCAAAAGTTCCCTGCCCTGCGGGGGCTGGGAAGAGCCAGGGCCTGCGGATGACAGCACGCCTCGCCCAGCCGGCCAGCTCAGCTGTCCTCATCCAGGGACTCCGAGTCCAGCCGCGCCCTCTCGTGCTGCTGCCTCTCGCTTCCAGGCCTGTCCAGGTCAGGGCCCTCCTGCAGGCTGTCAGCATGCAGGTCTTCCGAGGAGCTTCGCCGCAGGCCCTCCTCCGAGTCCTGCCCCTCCTCCTGCTCCTTGTCCTCCGCGCTCTCCTCCTTCTGGGATGTGGCCTCACCATTCACAGGGGCAGAGAGATCTGGGCTGGGCTCGTCCTCCGCCTTCTCCTTGGTGGCCTCTTCCCTTGCCAGCTTCTCCTCAGACTTCTCCACCTCGGTCTTCTCCTTCTCTGTTCCAGCTTTGTTTGCTTTCTGGGTTGCCTCAATCTTGGGCCCCAAGACGCGTGACTTGAGCCGGGTATAGACTTCTGCCGCCTTCTCCATCACGTCCTTGTTGGCTTTGTAGCGGCGAATCTTCTTCAACGTGGCCACCACATCTGTGTTCTTCTGTAGGATCTGAGAAGTCACCTGCAGGGTCCCCAGCTCCTCCAGGGCATTCAGACACCTCTTCACATCCGGGTTGTCGACCTTCAGAGCAAACTCGATCTCACTGTGCAGCTTCTGCAACTTCTCTTCCACAGAAGGTTCTTTCTTCTTCTCCACCTTCCTGTCCAGCGGGGGCCCTTCTGACCGCTTCCGGGTCCGTTCTACC